AGGCCACTGGGAGAGCCGCTTATATGCGGGGGTGGGGCACGACGCGGGGGGGCGCAGGGAGGCCGTGGCTGCAGGCCGGGCCGCTAATGGTCGATTTGCTCTGTCAGTGAGTCGTGTTGTGCCGCCCACGTGCTCGGGTAAGGCCCTGCATGGCCTGGCTGCTCGAAATTTGGGCCAGCCGGGCCCGCTAGCCTCCGTCTTTGGGCGGACAAAAAAACAGCCTTGGGCAGGGCCAGCCAGCTCGGGCCGCATAATAACTATGGGTCTGAGATAAATTCTTCTTAATAGAAATTAGTAGGAAATGGTATGAGGAGAAATTGGACGAATCAGATATTAAGTACCGACCGGTTATCCGCAACAAATGTTAGTTAATTTTACTAAAATTTTAAAACTTTGAATGCTAGATTTTTAATTCTAAGTCTAAATTTTGATGTGACGCCCACATGTATATCTAGCCATACTAATATCCACAAAGTAGCCATCCGTTGTAATGAGTCATCTGTAATAATTTTAATCAATTTTGTGAATCTTTAAGATGTGAATGTAGGGTTTCTAAATTTTAGTGTCCAGCTTTTGACATGGGGACCATATTTACATTTAGTACACGAAGTAGTCCACTATCATACCGGGTCATCTAAAAAATGCAATCAACTTTGCTCAAGTTTTTAAATTGTGAACGCATGCGGATACATGGGTATGTGTATATCTGGGCACAAAGCCCGAGCCCGTGAGCCCAGCACGGAGCCCGCTATTTAGGCCCAGCCCTAGCCCGACCCGGCCCGAAGGTCAATGGGCCCGGGCTGGCACAGCACGGGGGTGCAGGCCGTGCTTGGGCCGCACCCTAGGCCCACAGGCCGGCACGGCACGGCCCGCAAGCAGGCAAGCAGGCCGGCGGCCCAAGAACGCCCCCCTCCCCTCCTGGCCTCCTCCCCGGCTCCCCATATAACCGTGACCCCCTCGGCCGGCCCCCACCCCCACCCTAACCCTAACCCCATTCGCCTCCCAACCGCAGCCGCACTCGACACCCGCTCGGTCGCTCATCGCTCTCGCTCGTCGCCACTCGCCTCCTCTCGTCGATCCATCTTCGCCGCCGGTGCGACCATCGTCCTTGGATCCGGTGATATCGCCGCCGCTCCATCACCTCTCCCTGAGTTACCTGCTCCCTCAGTCCCTCTCTGTCTTCCTTTTTACTCCTTCTCCTCTGTTTGTCGATGAACATGTGAGTCTGCCTCCCCGTCTCTCTTCTGCCGTCGCTCGCCGTCCTTCTTAATCCCGTCTTGCCCTTGTGTGGCCCTCGTCTTCTCCGACGCGGGCTCTGTTGCCTGTGAGCAAGTCCATCCCCATTCGTAACCCTAACCCTAGCCCCTAGATCTATCGTTTCTCGGTGTTTTGATTCTGTTTTTGGGATCATTTTCTCATCCGGCTCCGCCCGCTATGAGCAAGTCCATCCCCATTCGTAACCCTAACCCTAGCCCCTAGATCTATCGTTTCTCGGTGTTTTGATTACATTTTTGGGATCATTTTCTCATCCTTTTCTTCTTTTCGTGTTCTTTTTTCTTTGCAGTGTCTCTGTTGCCGATGCCTCGTCGTCAACTAGCCTTGGCGTAGACAGACGACGGCAATGGCATGGCGCTGACGCTAAGTCAGTAGCCGCGCACCATTGAGGAACGATCTTTGGAGTTTAGCCGTCCACGACCGAAGGGCCCCATGGCGTGTGACCCGCAGGCGGCGATGCCATGTTCCCTATGATTGGCGGCGATGACTTGGTCGCGGCTGGGTTGGTATGTCCGAAGCACACGACGACGGTCGTGACCCCTTTGCGGTGTTTGATGACGCCACCAAGGACTGACCGGCGATCGGCGTCGATGCCGTCGATCTGCGAGGGCAACGGGGGCGGGGACGGTGGACTCAACACCCACTCCAACTACTTTGGTGTTAATGGTAATCTTGATGGTAATGGTACTCGTACTCCTTCCTCTGGTGCTGTTTTCGGACTTGGTAAGCGCAAGTCTAAGTCTTTGGGGTGACTTTGAGGAGGTTTATGAGAAGATTAATGAAGTCGATGTGCGTGTTAGAGCTATATGTAAGATGTGTAGAAGCTCGTGTTGAGTGCTAGATCTGCTCATTGTAATCTGGTCACATTCTTAGGCACCAAAAATCTTGCAAATAGAAACTTGATAATGCTTCTAGGGTTCGGTCTCGACTAGCTTTTAATCTTGATGGGTCTTTGCATAATTGGAACTATGATCCTCTTTGTTGCTAAAACTGAAGCGTGTAGATTGATTGCTAGGCTTGATCTTCCTCTTGATTTTGGTGACACCGATGCATTTGAGTAATATATTAAAATTCTCATAACCCAAGATTTGTTAGATCATCTAGAAGAACCACCACTAGAGATCTGGATAAGTTATTTCTTTGACGTCGTGCTATGATTAGGGCTGTGTGCATGCTTTCGCATCTGTTGCTTTGACTTCGATATATGGTGCAGTAATGCTAAAGAGGATTACATATCTGTTGTTGCTCACTATGTGAATCTTGATTGGGAATTGCAAAAGAAGATTGTTGGTCTTAGGTTGATTCAAGTTAAGCATTACGGTGAAAACATTTCGCTTTCATTGTATCTCATTGTTGAGGAGTATGGCTTGGTTGATAAAATCTTTTCTATCACTTTAGATAATGCATCTTCTAATGCTAAGGCTATGGAAACTTTGACACCCATGTTTCTTTGGTTATCTTGGTTGTGATCCCGCTTTTGATGATCCCGCACTGGTTACTGATCTTGTGCATCAATCTTGTGCTTGTCACATTATTAATCGATAGTCAAATCTGGACAAAAAGAATCAAACCTTATATAGAGGATTTTAGAAGCGCAATTAATTTCTTGAACTCCTCTAATCAAAGAATTGCTATGTTTAGAAACTACTTGTGAAGCTAAAGATATGAGACCTAGAAAATTTGGGTTAGACATGGATATTAGATGGAATGCTACTTATCTCATGCTAAAACACTTGGTTCCTTACAGTGAAGTATTTTACGTGTTCATAAATTCAAATTATGGTTCTCAAGATCGTTGTCTCCGCCCATTGGCACGTGGGTTGGGAAAATATTGGAGTTCCCGGAAGTATTTTATGACTCTCTTGTTACCTTTGTCTCGGTGTTTATTATCCTACCAGTCCTCTTGTGCTGCACCATGTTCTGGAGATTGCAACCCATTTGCATGCATGTGAAAGGGATGTTAATCTTAGACCCTTTGTGTACCCTATGCAGCATAAATTTCTTAAGTATTGGAAGGACATTCATCTCTTATACTCATTTGCATTCATTCTTGACCCTAGAGCTAAACTCAGAGGTATGCAAAGGGTCCTCCATTTACTTACTTGAATATCGGGTGATCTTGATTACACTACTTACTATGCTGATTTGGCCGAGTTGCATAAAATGTTTGAGAAATATTTGAGAAAGTTTGGTGCAACCAGTTCACAAAGGGTTCTTTGGTCCTACCCACCCATTGGTAAGAGAAAACAGGCTTGGGGGTAATTTTTGGAGGATCAGTGCACTGGTCCTTCGATTGGCCTTTACTGTTCTTCTTCTCACTCTCTCGCTTCGAACTTTCAAGCTATTTGGACGGTGATTTGCATAAGCGCTTATGATGATGGTTTTGACATTCTTCTGTGGTGGAAGGACCACAAACTAACCTATCCCATCCTGGCTATTATAGCCAGAGATATCATGTCGATTCTGTTTCTACTTGTTCTTGAGTCTTGTTTGACTTAGCAGGAGGATCCTAGAAAACGGTGGCCGAGCTTGAAACCGAACATGTTGAGATCTTGACCTTGTTGAAGGACTGGGAGCTAGGAGAGAAGAGGGAACAACATGAAGCTGCTGATACCAAGGAAATTGAAGATGCATTCGAGAATCTGTTCCTGGATGAACCAGAAGGTGAAGATGATGCATCTGGTGGCTGAGAGTGGCATTGGTTGGCTGGGAGTATTGGAGTACTTTTGTGTGAGTTGAGAGTGGATGTGTCCCTCACTCACTTGCTTAGTTTTCATTTGAGCATTTGAACAATGGTCTGTAATAACTATGTAAGATTAAGACATTTGAGGTGGTTGCACTTTTTTTCCGCCTAGGGTTTCTCACAAGGGTGAGTTTTACCTAGGTAGGTTTTTAATGAGACAGCATTGCACAAAACAGCTCTTTTTGATATTTAAATGGATTGAGATGTTTATTTGGAGGTGTTTTAGATTTAACGGGCTGTGGGCTGACACGGCCTGCTATTTTTGCCGTGCCTCACGAGCCAGCACGGCATGAAAAATGGCCCACAGGCCCGTGCCTGGGCCGAAGGCCAGGCCCGCAGGCCGATGAGGCACGGCGTGTCTCCTTAGCCCGATAGCCATCGTGCCGTGCCGGCCCGTGACCGTGCCGTGCCGGGCCGGGCCGGCCCGATGCCCAGGTATAGGTATGTGGTCACGGCAGGTGCACGTCGCCTTGATCGATTGTACTGGTCCTCGCTTCATGTTGGTAAGAGGACAGAGGAGTTGCTTCAAGTTCTGTAATTCGACATAACCCAAACTGGAATCTATTTTCTCCGAGCATAGTATTTGAGCAAAAAAAAAAAGACATGTTTGACCAGCCCATCAGTTTCGTGACAACATAAAGAAGTTAGTACTAAAAGCACTGGGCCCTAATTCTTTTAGATCCCTGTGCAAGTTGCCTATTCTCCACGTGTCAGAGCACAGAACTGCCACGTAAGGTCGTATTTGCGTGCACTCGTTTTCAACTTGCTCACTAGGCTGGCTTGGCTGGAAACCCCGCGCGCACGGCACGCAAACACAGCCATGTACGAGCCCAAATTGGACTTGAGTAGCAGCCTATATAAAGTTTGACGAGGCCACTACCCCCATGGTAATTCGTCACTTGCAATGGATCCGTCCGCGCCCCTCTTTCCCGTTCCCTCGTCCTGCTCCCCCGCGCCCCAAGACTCCGACCGGGCTTTCCTCATGGCGTCGTCGTCGGCGGCGGCCACCGCGACGCGCAAAGGCCCGGCGCTCGACGGCACGGACAACGGTGGTGGTGGTGCCGGCCGCAAGAGCAAGCAGGCGCGGATGATCACGCTGGGGAGCATCGGCGACTACGAGACGCAGGAGGCGATCGGGGCGGGCAGCTTCGGCGTGGTGGTCAAGGCGCGGCACCGCGGCACGGGCGAGGCGGTGGCCATCAAGTGTGCCCGCAAGGCGCCCAATAGCAACAGCTACCTCCGCCGCATCCTCCGCGAGGCCGGCTGTATGGCGGCCTGCCGCGGCCACCCGTCGGTCGTGGGCATCAGGGACGTCGTCGTGGACGCCGCCACCGGGGACGCGTTCCTCGTCATGGAGCTCGTCGGCGGAGGCAGCCTGCTGCGCCTGCAGAGGACTCGAGCTCGGGCGCGCTTCTCGGAGGGCGAGACGCGCGCGTTCATGCGGCAGCTCCTGCGCGGCGCGGAACGGATGCACGGCGCCGGGATCATCCACCGCGACATCAAGCCCGGCAACATCCTCGTGAGCGGCGCCGGCGCCCTCAAGATCTGCGACCTGGGGCTCGCCACGCCGGCGGCGAGGAGGGCCGAGGGGACGGCGGCGTACGCGTACCCGTACCCGGAGCGCCGCGTGGGCACGCTGCTCTACCGCTCGCCGGAGCAGCTGGCGGGCCGCCGGGACTATGGCCCCGGCGTCGACGTCTGGGCGCTCGGGTGCGTCATGGCCGAGCTCCTCACGGGAAGGCTCATGTTCGACGAGGAGACGGAGGATGGCATGGTCGCCAGGGTGACGGAACTGGAGCACGCGCTCGCCGAGAGGAGGCTGCAGGCGTTCGACGACTGGCCGACGTTCCAGGGCCTACCGCATCTGTCGCGGGGCGCGCGCGAGGTTCTCGCGGGCCTGCTTGCCGTCCAGCCACGGGACAGGCTCACCGCCGCGGCCGCGCTCCAGCATCCGTGGTTCGCCGAGGAAGAAGAAGAGAAGGAGAAGGAGCATCCTGCGGCCACCTGCCGCAGCGCAGGCAGAGCAGCTCGGAGTAGCAATGCTAGTGTAGTGACCGTCGTGGTCTGAACCTTGAGGATTGTTGAATTGGTTGTTGTAGTCTTATTCTTTTGTACACTATATTGGTATTTGTAATCTTGGTTATATTAATTACAAGTTGCCATGACGCATGAAGATGAAGCAATGCACATGTTGCTTCGTTGTGATCTGTTTAATCGGCTCTTTGGTATTGAAAGATCTGTTATGTTCTCTCAATTCCCAAACCATGGGTGTGTTTCTAGCTCATTTTCTTAATTGGTGGCGAAGTCATGAGTCATGACATATCTGTTATCTGTTATTTGGCTGAAATAGTTGATTATTACTCAACACGATTGTGGTACCTATCATTAGTGACTAATAAACTTCTATTCTTCTTTGAAACTAAAAAAATTCTATTCTTCTTCCTTTTGGGATAATTTGTATTCTAAGTTGCCAATTGTGCGATCTCGAGAACAGTACTGTTGATTTAAAGAGCGCCTTTGATAACTGTGAATAGGATCTAGAGCTACAACGTATTATACTGGCGACACACATCCTGAAACAAATGTTATGCTACATGGGCGAAACTAGGCGAGCAGTTTCAGATCAGTTGTGCAACATCTGCTCCCACAGAAATCTTACCTAGGATAAGTGGACAACCTGGTTCATGCTTCTGCTGTTGACACTTGACAGCTGAATGTTCCTAAAATCTTGCTTGATCCTGATTCCTTTGCATTGCTGTTGTGGAAGATTTGTGCATCGAAGCACTTGCACATGTTCCAGAATGCGTCAAATATAATGGTGACCTCAAAATCACCATTATCGGGATAAAGCCATCGTGAAAAACAAGGGGGTGAACAATCCTGGTCGAGTTGGCTATTGACACCTGTGAAATAGGAAACATCCTCTCGTGCACCATTCAACGACGCTTTGGCCGAGTGGTTAAGGCGTGTGCCTGCTAAGTACATGGGGTTTCCCCGCGAGAGTTCGAATCTCTCAGGCGTCGTTTTTTTCTTCTTTTTTTCCATTTCGGCCTTTCTGTGCCTCCGTCTGTTGCGTGCAGCAAGGGTACAGAGCTCATAACAGCGTTAGGCGGTAGCGGGTATAACAAACGCTATCGACACAAGCACTACTGTCTACTGGCAGCGTCCGAAGACCATTTTCCCGTAATTCAGCTAGAAAAAATGTTTCCCTGATGATGAAGAATTTTCAGCGGATCAAATATGACGTTCTAGGGGTAAACGAAAATGTTCCATAAACAAAACTATGTTCTAGATGAAAAATCAAAGATATTCGTTCATCCTTAACCTATCACCTTAGTCCAGGTATCTACCTCCATGTCCCGATTAGAAAGTGGTTTTCAAAGTAGTTTTATCATCTTTAATTCAAATAATTCTGCTAAATACCTAAATAAGGTTTTATAAGTTTTGGAACTATGAAAAATCTGTAAGTTTATATAAAATTTTTATAAGAATCCTATATATATATATATATTAGGACACGATAATCCCAAATAAAATGGAAAAAATATCCAGAAAAACTAAGAAAAGTCCAAAGAAACATTCTAATCAATGTCTTAGAAACTTTACACAACAAAAACACAAGATGCAACAAACATGAATACATTCAGCACGAGTCCATTCAACAGTGACATATGTTGCATTTATGTTGGTTTCATATCACGTTTTTGTTATGGAAAGTTTTAAAATGCATTTATACATTGATTACCAATGTTTTAGGAATTGTCCAGATTTTTCTAAATTTTCTTCCATCATCCTAGTACTAAATCTAATTTTAAGAAGCTTGTAGACATATTTTCATGATTTTTAGTATTTCATTTTGGTTTCTTGTGTCCCAATTAATTCTTATAATTTTTCTTGAAATTTTTATACGCTTGGAGATCATTTTCGTGGTTTAAAAATCTTATTAAGTGTTTACCAAAAATATATATTGATTAAAAAATATAAAAAAATTACTATGACAACCAATTTTACCCATAGTAGAGGTAACTAAAATGATTTTTGGAGTTCAAGGAGACAGTTTGGTCGATTTTTTTTTTTTTTTGAGACTACAACAATAATTTAGAGACACAAAATTAACCTTTTTCCATCGAAGGACTAACAAGACGTGGGCCGAACACATGTAACCGAAACTTTGCATGAAGGCCCAGTGCTCAAAACAAAGACTTCCCTTTATCCCCCCTTGGTAAAAAGGCCATGCCACCGTCGAGTCCAAGCGGCGGAAGTCAACCCAAGCAAAGCTAACCCATCCATGGCCTCCGCTACCGCCGTCGTCTCCGTCAACGTCGGCGGCGAGCTCTTCCAGACCACCACCGCCACACTTTCCCGCGCCGGAGCCTCCTCCCCGCTCGCCTCCCTCGGCCCTTCCTCCCCGTCTGCCCCGCACTTCCTCGACGGCGACCCGCGCCTCTTCGCCCACCTCCTCTCCTTCCTCCGCCACGGCCGACTACTTGCTCCGTCTCCTCCCTCAGCCGCGCTCCTCGTTGAGGCACGCCACTTCGCGCTCGATGTCGCCCTCCTCGCCTCCCTCTCCCCGGCCTCCGCCTTCGCCCCGCTCTCGCTGCGGCCCTCCGCGCTCCTCCCGCTCACCGGCCGTGTCGCGCCCTCCGCCGTGGCGCTGTGCCCCTCGCCCCCGCACCCGGCCTCCCTCGTGGCCGCACACGGCGGGGTCGTGACCTGCTACGACGCCGCGCTCGCCTCCCGCAACAGCGTCCTCACGCCGCTCCCCGCCGTTGACTCGCTCGTCGCGGTGTCCCCCGCCCTCGCCCTCGCCGGCGCCCGCGACTTCCCCGGGGTCCACCTCTGCCGGTTCCCCGACGACGCCTCCGTCGCCTCTACTGATCCGGACGTGCTTTCGTGGCCGGGCTCGCCCTCCGCTACCGTGCTGTCGATGGCCACTACGACCGCGTCAGGAGCGCCGTCGCCGCCCTGGCTCTTCTCCAGCTTCGAGTCAGCACGGCGGAACTCGAGCGCCGTGGTGGTGTTCGATCTCAATTCCTTGTCTCCTGTGGCGGAAATCGGGCGGAAGGAGGTGTTCGGCGCCGACGTCGAGGCTGCGATCCCAGCGACCAAGCTCGCGTGGCTTGGTGGGCACAGCCTCCTTCTCGCTGCTGGCTCTCACTCAGGGCCGGCTGGGGTGGTGGGGGACATACGGCTCTGGGATGTCCGGGCGAGCGCCACGGTACCGGTGTGGGAGGTCAGGGAGAAGGAGGATTGCTTTGCTGATGTTGCAGCGTCTGACGCGCTGTCAGCGGTGTTCAAGGTGGGTGCCGCCTCCAGTGAGGTGTTCATGGCTGACCTGAGGAGGCTTGGTGACGGTGGTGGCATTGGATTGGAACCATGGGTGTGCATTGGTGATGGACAGAAGGCGGCAGCAGCCGCATCATCTGGAAGGAAAGAGAGGAATGGCTGTAGAATTGAGTGCTACTGCAGTTGGGTGTTTGTGGCACGGGGCGCGGACGTCGAGGTGTGGAGTCAGGTGGAATTGGCACCGGAGGCCGGTGGGAAGAAGGTGATGAGGAGGAATTGGGTTGGCAGCGAACTATCCACGAAGCCCAAGATTGTGAGCTGGGCATTTGGTGGCAGCAGGATGGCATTGGCCAGAGCTGATAAGCTGTCTGTGGAGTTATGGGATAGTGCTACAGCAGCAATTGGCGCAAACCCCTGAGTAGAGGAAGGATATTGCAAAAGTAAGCTGACGCTTCTCAATGTTAAATTGCTGCTTGTTCCTCTACATTTAATTTAGCGTGTTGTTTGTGATGTATCCCTGATAGTTAGAATCTTGTACACTGCCTGGAAGGTATGGAATGAATATATTCTGTGTTTCCTGATCATGCAATCTGCTGAATTTTGTTATCACCCTAGGAAAAGTGTAGTCTCTTTTTAAGAAAATGTGGAAAAAGTTGTTTGCCAGGGTTAACTTTGTTTTACTGAGTTATTGTTTTTGAGTATTGAAAATCTAACTTCCTATACAATAAAAAATTTGCAGAATTTTCTTACATCAATAATAGTTTCGGCGCTTCTAGAAGCTCACCACAATTTGAGCATGATTTGGGAATCTGTTACAACATGCTTTACAATAGTTCATGTGTGCTCACTGGTCTGCAAGATTTAATGGTACCATTTAGATATGAGGATTGACTAGAGATTCATCACTCCTTTGCTCAGAAGCTGAAAAACGGATGATGATTACTTCATTTCTTTCGGGGTATTTGGTCATGGAATTTGATTTATTATGTGCCAAAAGTTTAGGTTTTAAGGTGGTCCATACAAATACACTGAAGTTTCATCCTGATCCATCTTAAGATGGACTGTGCAATTGACTAATTAGGTGAGACATCAAGTGGAAATGACCGATGAGGTAGTAAAGTGATAACATGTGCTATCGATAGAATGAGCTTGATGGTTTAGATCCACCACTAAAACCTATATCATCTTTTGCATTGGCCTCTTGAGTTGCAAACAAATATTTGTGTGGATGGAACACAAGGTTTGATGAACATTAGCGGATTTGAATCATTCATGTTCTGCTGGTCACCTTGCATTTAAATTATCGAGTACCTTGCAATTAAATCATCGAGTTTCATCGAAGTGCAAATTAATCTTGACAGGCACCTAACTGGTGCAGGGCAGACGGTTTCCTGTCATATATGTGCTGGAAGCCTGGAATTGGGCAAATGTTTAGAGGTTCCCAATTGGGGATATATCCCGGTGGTCAAGGGCTTAAGGCTCCAAGGGAGGAGCCGTCCGGCTAGGGTTTGAACCCCGTCCGGCACCAGGCCTCTAGAGAAGGCCATGCCAGGGTGGTGCTGTTTAAAAATATATACGTGTCATGAAATTGGACGGTTTTCATAGTGACCTTCATGCTGAATACCTTTGGCATTCGTACCTTTCCTTTGTCCTTCCTGATTGAACCCTGCACCCAAAAGCTCGAACATTTTAGTTTGCAGGTCATTCTGAGCATGAAGTTGTCAAACAGCTGCTCTTGGCTGGTGCCCGCACCATTGGCGTGAAGATGAAAATTCGGGTTGG